CTGCCCTCGACCCGGCGCCGCAGCCCACCTGGAAACGTCGAAGAGGAGGGCAGCTAAAGACTTGGCTCGACACTGTCCGTCAAGACATGGAAACAGTTCTTGGACCTTCTATTTTCGATCTCCGACGCTGGAGTAGAGACTGGGTGGAGCTTTCCAGATCCGTTGCAGCCAATCGCCACGCATGGAGAGGTACCGTTAGTGGCATCATTGAGGCCGGCTAGATCAGGCATGATCACAGCCGTAACAAGTACAAGTAAGTAAGACCTGACCACGCGCCGTCCGAGTTATCCTGTCAGTTGGCAACCTTTTAAACCACGACTTTGAGCGCTCCGTAATAGCGCATCAAATCTGATACAGTGAGAAAAAATGCCTACTGAAATCCAACCCTCGACCTCCTCATGAGTATACTCACGGCGAACAGAGGGTAATGGAAGGTACCACTGGGGACGGTACCTGCCACAAAATCCCCAAGAAATTTCATGAACAATAAAAATATCACGGTTCTCAAAACTGCTAAGGCACCCTCGGGAAGGGACGCACTTCGTGGTCGCCTGGTGCCAAGAATTTAAAATATGCGAGCCAGAACCCTAAATTCGCGACACACTTTAACAACAGTTGCTGGAATGTGTGGACATCGCTTGATGCCGCAAGTTAAGCACTTGTAGCACGCGCATTTTTGGGACTACATTGTAGACGTTGCCTGACCGGCAAACGTTCGGCTGAGACGTCGGCTTTATTCTCCATCTTCAATCCCAGGTCCCAGCCAGGGCCAGCTATAACACAACCAGAAGGAAGTTCGAGATATGTGAAGGTGGAAGTTAGAAAAGTTCTCAAATGTTCCAACTGATTTATAGGGAGACGGGGTACAAACAGAGCTAAGAGACAGACGCTGGTGGGAAAGAGAACGTGATGTCCACGAGCAGCAGAGGCCCCAGGGACCGTTTCCTGCCAATCGAGGATCTTCCGTGTGCACACTGGCATCCAGTTTTTTCAATTCAACACAGCCCCAACCCCGGTTGAGGTACCAATAAGACTGCTTGCGTCGAGGACGTACCTAAGTCATTTTCTGCAGAATTTTGTCGAGCGTTGCATTCGAAACTGTGTGTTATTTTTAGTCACAGCGACAGCTGCATATGCAAAATGAGTGTCAAAAAATGCGTTCGCGACTGTCATAGAGCGTAGGACTGACCGTGTAGGATTAGGAAAAAGCGTCCAGCGATAGCTACAGCTACAGGACGTCTCTTTCAGGGGAATTATTGGGAAAAAACTTTCCATCACACATCTCTGGTCCTTGTCGCGGATGACGGAGATATGGGTTTTTTGGCGACGCATGTCGGTACTTGCTTGACGCACCTTTTTGAACCAGTTGGAAAGTTGGTTAGACGTTAAACCAGAGTCATACTGTATAATGCGTATTATCAAGATTGTTCTATTGGCTTAATAGTAGACTGAGCGTTTTGTGTTGTGACGATACCGGACTCAAACACGAATGTCGTTTAGTCGGCCTCGGCCCGAGGCACCACCAAATCCAAAGGCTGTGACACGAAACGAAGCCATAATTTAAAAAAATTAAATCCCGTCATGAAAGCAAACCACAAGTGGTCAGTGGCCAGTAATTATCAGCCGCTTTAGCAAATTTTGTCCAAACAGAATCGCAAAACTGTGACGCGAAATGAAGCCATAATTTTTGGAAAATTGTGAAACGTCCCCTCCCGAAAGCAGGTCAGGAGTAGTAGTAATTATCCGCCGCTTTTGGCAATTTTTTTCTCGGGTGATGTTGGTTTCGGAATTTTTAACTAGCCTGTCGTACTCACTCTGCCACAAATTAAGCTAATTTGGAGGATACTGAGAATGTGAAGCTTTTAAAACTGTCGTTGGTGCCTCACCGCAGCGGAGGAAAAAATGCCAGCTTCCATCAGTCCATGCTTCAAGTGACGACAACGGCGGCGGCGGTGGTTGGGAGTCAATTTAACCCACTAATAGCGCGGTTGGCTGACTTGCAACTGCAGGCTCATTTAGGACGGTTACTATGGGCGTGGCGTGGGGTGGCTTATAAACTAGCCCGCACGTACCGACCATCTAACAAGCAGCTCTGATTAATATTTGGAGTACGCGCGCATAAGCCGGGGGAGTACGCGTAGAACGATAGTCGAAGTGACTTAGATCCATTTTGCCTTGACGAAAGCTCGGGCTTGCGAAAATGTCCTTCCTTGCTCTCTCTTTCTTTCTTCTCTCATCAGGAACGGACGAGGCAGCGGCCCGAAAGGTGTCTCTAATTTTGC